GCAGCCTCGTATTTGTCTCGAAACATGTCCGCGATATGTGCAGCTCTCACATTGCCTGTGTGATTCCTGGTATAACGTCCTCGTCCAAGGAGGACATCAAATCGACGGGGGACTATGGTATCAGCTGTAATATTGTTGCCTTTTTCTTCCTGCTTTTGCCAGCTCCAAATCCATTGAAGATGATTCTCCAGATTTTTGGGTTGATTTGGATGGAATGGGAGACAATCCGTTGGGATTCCAAAAGTCTGTAATGCAAATTTGTGCTGTTCAAAGTCTCCACAATGGACACGCATTTTAGCTCTCAGTTTCTCCGGCAGCAACCATCGAATGCCACCAACCAATGGACGCAGATAGTCTTGGCTCAACAGGATATGGACACCAGCCACCTTGTGTACCCCTCCTGACCTGAGCGTTTTCAATCGCTGAAGTTTGAGAAAAAATGGCTCTTGTAGATTGAGCAGTGATTGACCAATAAGGCAGATTACCACAACTATTCCCCCCTTCTTTTGCGCATCCTCAGCTTGGAGAAAGCTCATTGCAAAAAATACTTCAATGCGTAGCTAGGATAAAATACTGTTTTCAGACACAAGAAGAGAATGACAACAACACAGCAGAACAGCTTTAGAAGCACTTACAGAAGAATCCATTGCTAAAGAGTGGTCCCTGTAGCCAGGGCATATCACCAAGACCAGACGGCCAGCAGCATCACGCACAGGCAAGAACTGCCAGGCTCCTAATTTGAGAACCTTCATGTCATCTTCACTGAGATCGCTTGTGAGTAGGTTTCTGGCCAAGGGAGGTCCATCACCAAACAGCTCACGTTTGACATCAAAATGCTTTACAATTCGTTGTGCAGAAGACTTCGCATCGAAGTCGTCAGAGCGAAGAAACATCAGCCGAAAGTCCTTGTCCATCACGTACTCTTCGTTCAAATACTTGGCTTTTTCATAGGCCTTCCGGCGAGTTATCTTTCGAATTTCCAGCTCCATTTGCTCTAGCAGAGCATCAACATCCTCAGGGTCCTTGCTCTCATGGGCCATTCCATATAAATCAAAAGTGTTTCGCTCCTTCTCTTCAAATGATAGCTTCTCGAGTTCATCAGCCAAGAGCTTATCAACCAAATCTGCCTCATCAGAAGACTGAGGGAAACGCTCCAAGGAAAGACCTGCCTCCTGAAAGGTCTTGTCTCTTTGAACACCCGATTCTCGAGCCATAAAGTCTATTACTTCTGACGATGTGGTATCAAGAGCCAGCAGTTCACTCATTTCCTGAAGGTCTGAAGTGTTCATCTCTGTGAATGCTGTACCGGTATTGGTAGCAGTGTCAGGAACAACACTGCTGTCACTGTCGAGCCCTGGTAGAAAAGGCTCCATAGTCAGAGCTGATCTTGCATGCCTGCACTACTTCTTCTGTTCAAGTATTATGGTATCTGAAACCATAAGGGTACCAGGTACTGCTGTCGGCAATGGACCGAGACTTTGCGGCTTTGAGGCCTTGATGGGATGATAAAGGACAAGTGCAAGAATCGAATGATCAATCGAATCGTTCAATCCTGTTTCTGAGGGTAGTTGCGGTAAATATCAAGTGAATCGAATGATGCAATCATCCAGCCGTACTTGCACTTGACTCGATGATGCATTACCGCGGCTACCTGAATTGCCAAGCAGGCAATAGCGTTCCACATACTAGCTACTAGCTAGCTAGTAGTAAAGAAGAATGTTCGTATGCACTCTCATTTCTCGTAATCGCAGTCTGAACCGTTAGAGACGCATCTTCAGAAGAAGTACAGCGTACTAATAATACTGTAACTTGTATTCCGCCCAAGTCGCACCATACCAAAGCCCAAAAAAACATAGGGAATAAACTCCTGCACAGGACTGAACCTTGCTCCAGCGTTTTCCCTAAATCCTGGGACGACTGCATGCTACATGATCATCCAAACTCTGGATCGCGCCTTTTACAGATCTCGACCTGCACTGGGTCTCATAAAACAAAAAGGAGATCAAACAACAACAAACAAACAAACAACAGTAAACAACAGCAAACATGGGATGCAAACACTCAGCACCAGTTTCTGGAACCAATGCCAATAGCAAAGAATATGGACCAATTCGAGATATCATCGGAGGCGATGCTGCCTCCAAGTCTTATCCTCTTGTTGGCCCGGGAGCAATCATGAAACAGAAAAATCATGGCACATACATCAAGCCTGTCCAGTCCGACCTGCGATATGGATGTGATATCAAGACTGCCGACAATATCTGCAATGTACGATTCATCGTCGTGTTCCTGTCGCCAGTACAGCAATAGAATCATTCATCATTCAGCTCACTTCTCGCTTTCTTCCTCTGCCACACAGCACAATCGTCACCGAGCTGAGCATTTTGGCTATTTCACCTCGGGGCCTCGCCGTAAGGCATTCAGCAATGCAGTTGAGGATGCCAAAGCAAAGAACAAACCGATCACCTTCTATGATTCGAACACTGGTCTGCCTTTGTTCACTGCTCCCCGTGGTCGGTCTTGGGAATCCTTCCTCAAGGAGAGCAAGAATCACGGATGGCCCTCATTGTAAGTGTCTTGGGCTGTGTGTTTTGCACAGCAAAGGATGTGCCAGGCAAAAGAATTGTGCAGTGGAAACTGACTCCTTGCTTCTCTCTGCGCTAAAACAGCCGTGATGCAGAAGTCAACTGGGAAAATGTCAGATGCCTCAGAAAGGGAGAAGCCGTCAGTGTCCATGGAACCCATCTAGGTCACAATCTGCCGGATTCAAGTGGGAATCGCTACTGCATCAATTTGGTATCCATTGCAGGGAATCCAGAGGGAATTGATGATTCCAAGCAGATTTCGCTTTACACAGATTCGACGAACTAGCCATAAAAGAAGTAACACTTTTGTTGAACCGGGTGATTGATGCTTACATGACGTAGTGATGCTGGCACAGCAGAAGCCGCAGATACTGATCATCCTGATAATCAGGTGACGGCGGGCTAAAGCAAAGGAAAAGGCCAGAGCAAGAACAGGCGCTCTGTCCGGCTTTATGGGTTGTACTGTCGTTGCAAAGACGTGTATGCGTGTATCCGGCCCAGCATCTGTCTTCCAACATGTTTTTGCGCTGATACCTTTTTGTTGGACAGGGCAACTACGTGGCTGCCTCAATATTCCTTCCAGGCCACAGGCCACAACGATGGGACGAAAATCACTCGTACAGAGAAAGGATTCGACCGGATGTCAATGAGGTACGACCGAAGAAGAGGTGCCTACATCGGGAGCTCTTCATCTGTACCTGTCAAGCCTTTGGTTCGAGCGATGCAGTGCCAGCTGCAGCAAGGTTTGCTCTAGCTGGTACTTCTGCCGATTGAATTCTGCTTCTCGGCTGGCAGCACTGGACTGCGACTATTTCCTCTAGGCTTAGCTTCCTGGCCGGACTGCCAACATATGGATTTCCAAGGAAGCTGGCCGTAACGGCAAAGACAGGTAGATCCGGGTGGGATTTGGTAAAGGTCTTTCCTTACTATGTGATTGAAGTTTACTTCGCGTCTCCCTGAACACCAAGCACGCGACGGGCTGGTGTGCACGTCACTGTTACTTTTCACGTAGTTCTTCCTATAATCTTGGTGGCTTGTCTATGGAGGCTGGTTGGCAGGTAACCTTTCTGGACAATTGAGCTGGCCTGCATCGGGATCACGATATACCGGTATCCAAGGCGAGCTCTACTTGGCTATCGTGTGTGAGGACCGGAGAGGACACAGTGTTGCATTGGTGTGAGCTTGCTTCGGAGCAATGAAAGTCTCTACGAGGATCCCAGAGACAAACCAACGAGCGACAACCAAAAATCTCGGATCCTCCGGCCATGACTGGATCCCTCTGAGCTGGTCGCTCCACCGACCGCAGTTGATCCCTGCAAATGAAACATTCACACGCTTGCTTCACGAAGAAGCACTTTTGAAAGAGCATCCACCCACAGGATGTACCAGATCTATTGGAGTGTGAGCTACTATGATACAACGGTAAGCCAAGGATCCCCATCATCCCCAAGCTTCAAACTTCGGAGTGCTGTCAAGTCAAAAATTTAGGTACCGGTAAGCCTTTCACACCTCTTCGGAACTCGTTGCAATGATTGTTGGACTGCATTTGCTGACATTCTCTTGGTGGAAGCTGATGCCAGGGACTCCCCATCCGACCCTTTTGAACCACCGGAGACTGAGCCATCGGAGGAGGAGGATGCCTTGCTTTTGCTGGGGCAACCTTTTTTGTGTGTGTTTCTATAGAAGTGGGAGATCTGCAAGGAATAGGTGAGAAGGATCAGAAAAATACTTGTTGGTGCCATGAGCTGGATTCATTTTAGTACATACCTTGTTCCTTGCAGCTTGTTGGTCCACTTCTACCCATACATCATCTTCCCATTTCAAAAACCGACCATGAGATTCTTGTATAATTGTGACAATGCGTTCAGCAATTGCTGTCTTTTCATACTTCCCAGCCGACTCATATTTCTCTCGAAACATGTCAGAAATGTGTCCAGCTCTCACATTGCCCGTGTGATTTTTTGTATTTCCTCGCCCAAAGAGGACATCAAATCGACGGGGGACGATGTTATCAACGGCACTTTTGTTGCCCTTTTCTTCCTGCTTTCGTTGGCTTTGAATCCATTGAAGATGACTCTCAAGATTAATGGGTTTGTTGGGATGGCATGGGAAGCAATCCATTGGGATTCCAAAGGTCTGCAATTTGAATTTGAGCTGTTCAAAGTCCCCAAAATGGACACGCATTTTGGCTCTCAAGTGCTCCTGGACTAACCATTGCATGCCAAAAACCAAAGGACGAAGATATTCTTGGCTGAACAGGAAATGGACACCAGCCACCTTGCGTGGCCCCCCTGACCTGATTCTTTTCAGTCCAAGAAGTTGGAAGAAAAGTGTGTGTTGTTGTAGATTGAGCAGGGATTCTCCAAAAAGGCAGACTACCAGAACTCTGCCCTTCCGTTGTACATCCTCAGTTAGGAGAAAGCTCAACACAAAATAGGCTTGGCTGCGTAGCTACAAGTAGATCGATTCGCAGGAAGACAAAAGACCGCATTTAGACACAAGAGCATGGCAAGGACAACACTGCAGCACAGCTTCAGAAGCACTTACATGAGAATGCATTGCTATGGAGTTGTCCCTGTAGCCAGGGCATTGCACCAAGACTAGACGGCCAGCAGCGTCACGTTCAGGCAACAGCTGCCAGGCTCCTGATTTGAGAACCTTCATGTCATCTTCACTAAGATCAGACATTAGTAGGTTTCTGGCCAGGGGAGGTCCATCACCAAACAGCTCACGTTTGACCTCAAAATGCTGCACAAATCGCTGTGCCGCAGACTTGGCATCAAACTCATCGCTGCGAAGAAATATAACCCGGAAATCCTTGTCCATCACGTACTCTTCATTCAAATACTTGGCTTTTTCATAGGCTTTTCGGTCTGGTATCTTTCGAATTTCCAGCTCCATTCGCTCTAGCAGCTCGTCAATGTTCTCAGGGTCCTTGTTTTCTTGGGCCATTCCGAACAATTCAAAAGTGTTTTGTTCCTGCTCTTCTAAGGACAGCTTCTCAATTTCATCGGCCAATAGCTTATCAACCAAATCTGCCTCATCAGGAGACTGAGGGAAACGATCCAAGGAAAGACCTGCTTCCTGAAAGGTCTTGTCTCTTTGAACACCAGATTCTCTAGTCACAAGGTCTACTTCTGATGAAGATGGGGTCTCGGAAGCCACCAGACTGCACCCTTCCTGATTGTCTGCTGTGTTCATATCTGAAAAGGCGGTAGCAGTATCAGGAACACTGCTGTCGCTGTCAGCAACTGGTCGGAAAGGCTCCATGGTCAGAGCTGATCTCAAATGCTTGTTCTACTGCTTCTGTTCAAGGAGTATGGGTGGAATCTGAAGCTACAAGAACAATAGATGAGCTGGGTTGTGTTTCTTTGGGAGTACTACCAGGTAGATCTCGGTCGTTGCATTGGTTCTGGACTCGACCAGATCCACTCTCCAACGCCGAAGAAGGGGGTTGGGTATACTGAAGTTTGCTGGTCTTGGTCGTCTTGGTGTTGGAAACAAGAGAAGGGGGAGTTAGACTAGTCTAGTTTGCGAGAAATAGAGCATTTTTGCATTTTTACTTACCTTGCCGTTTTATAACTGCCCTGAGCAACTTACAGCATAAATCAAGAGATTGACGCTTCAATTCTGAGGAGGTTCTTGGTTTCTCCGGGCTTGTGTGCGATTATTTCCTCAATTGTTGTTCGAAGAATTATTCAATCGAATTAGGTTTCTGACTCGACTTGACTCATTTACTCGATTCGATTCGATTCGATTCGAATCGAATCATTCAATCCGAGTTGTTGCAACTTCACGTTTCACGTCTGATTGGATCTTTTCCACGCAAGTATCAATAATTTAGACCTCGTCAATGCGCTGTCGTCAACTAGCACCCTTGTTCGAGAACTACTACCATATTACAGCCATACTAGCTAGTAGTAGTACCCACTCCAACCGATCATGTACATGTACATACATGTACATGTAGATCTAAACTACTAGTACAAACCTTTCGCATCCACCCTTAGCAGCATATTAGACATCATGTCCTCTCAGGAACCTGCCGAACAAGGAGGGCTACCACCAGGCTCTGTGGAACATGGATCCTCTAACCAACAAGAGCCACAAGAAGAAGCAGGGCTAGCAGGAGCCGTACTGACCGCTGATGTGCAGTGGGTGGCTGGGCAGAATCCGGATGGAACTGAAGCTGATGCCAATGAAAGAAAGAAGAAAATGATGTTGATCAGGGTATTATTGTTGCTGCTAGCATTGTTGGTGATTCTGGTTATTGCCATTCCGCTGGCTGTTAGTGGAGGTGGACAGAAAGATGATCCAGCTCTGGAAATCAGTGCGATGGATAATTCAACGCAAGGTGAAACTTCCGATCCAGTGCCCACCCAAGTACCAACGCAACCACCAACAATGGAAAGTGACCTAGATTTTGAGGTGCTTCTCCCCAATGCAGACAATTCTACCTTTGAATTGATTTCGTCCGATCCATCGTCACCCCAATTCAAAGCATTCGAATGGTTGACTTCTGATCCCCACCTCCAACGGTACGAAACCTGGCGACGGGAACAGAGATTTGCTTTGGCTACATTTTTCCATGTATTCGGTGCCCCACTCTTTTGGACATGGCTGAACTATGAAATAGAGGAGTGTGGATGGGGCGAGAATGTTAACAAAATTCACGTGCATTGCGATGATGCTGGTCGTGTCAGGCGAATTGTTGTGGGAAGAGCCGTCGACAGAGACATTGTTGTTTTTCGTGGATCCGTCCCACCAGAGCTCTCATTGATCCGTCAGTTGGAAGCATTGGAATTGTCGCATAATCACCAAAAGGAACTCATATTGAGTTGGCTACCACCAA